GGCAGGGAAGGAAATATAAAGGGAAAGACCATAGGATTGCGTCATCGCGCGCATGCACATACCTCGCTCTAGTCACGCTTAAAAATAGAATAGCAGTCGGATATTAAGGACCACGAGAGGAGACACCGGCCGGCCGAAAGCAGGCGGCACCGGCTGCAAATCCGAATATAACGTAGAGGCATAGAGGCAGGTAGAGACGCATCACGATGATTCACGCGTCATAAGTGCACTCGTTATAAGCTAAAACGCGTAATACACGCGCAGGAGAGCTTCCTCTGCTGCGAGAGATATCCGTTTCTCCTCCTCGACCTCGAGAGATGCTCGCTCGAGCGGACGCGCGTTTACGTCCTCTGCCCATCTTAGGAAGGCCGTGGACGATCTTAAAGGTGCAAAAAAAAAAAAAAAGATCGAAGGAGCGGTCTAGTTTCTTCTCGACAGATGCATCTCCGATGTTATCCGAAGAGGATCGCGCGATCTCGCTAATTGAATCGTTGGCGCGGACCAAAATTGAATTCTACGAGTGATATTTCCCCCGGGAGGGAAGCATAAGTTGCTACGGATGAGAAATCTTGCGGCACGGCATTTTTTTTATTATTATTATTTTTTTTAATAACAAGCGGATATGCGAACAAAGAATTAAAAGTCTGAAATAAAAATATCGATTATCTATAATACTATCAGATTGTACAAGTGTCAAGTCGATACATCGAACAAATTAACGAAACGTTTCGATTCCGTTTAGGAAAAACCCCTTATCGGATTGATCTGTTTTTATTCGTTTCTCTGGAGATTGCCTAGCCAAGGAATAAACCAGTACGATGTTCGCGGATGAAACTAGAAAATTATAATTACGTAGCGATGTATGAATTAAGCGCGCATCGCGCCAATTATGGACATCGACGACGGATGCGAAAGGCATCTTTTCTCAAAACGTTCGTGTTTTTTGCGCAAAGACGTCTTGTTTTTTTTTTTGTTTTTTTTTTTTTTTTTTTTTTTTTTTAAGGAAAGGAAAGGGAGACGAGCCACACACAGTGCAGGATATTCGAAAATTTCATTCGGCAGGTTAGCGGCCAGCAGCCAGTGATCGCTACTAATTGTAAGCAGGCGTAGGCAGCAGGCGCGATCGCACGCATACACGCGTGTATACACAACCGCCGTGCGTGTAAAGTAAAATGGCACTCACGGCGGTCGCGCGGGATACCATATCGGGCACCTTGTTAACCTCGCCTCTCCTCTCTCTCTCTCTTTCTCTCTCGGTTACCTGGCCCCCGATCATTCTGTCCTCCTGCGTACGCACACAGACGTAGCATCGTACTCGCTCTCGAGCCTCCTCCCTTCCCACATCTTTTACTCTGCGACAAAAGAGGTTTCGGCTGTCGTCAATGTCGTTCCTCGGCTTCGTCACGCCGAGAAGCGCGATCTCCGATTTATTTCGCCGATTATCCCAAGAAAAACGAGTGCGTTCCTCGGCAAGGACTTAGCGCGGATTAGAACGGATTTCACGAATTGCGTCAAGGAAACGGAGAAACGCGAAGAAGATTACTGTTGTGAGACA